TGTGATTTCCGTGACCCGTCGCGCAAATCGCGCAAATCGCGCAAAGGATCGCGGACTCTGACATCAGCCTTAGGTCTACCAAATTCAATGTTCAATCAATGTGGGCCTATATTGAAAAAAATCACAATTTGATGCAACGCCGTTGGAAAGTTCGATTGAGCCATCAGTGAAGAGCAAGAAACGCGCGAACATCAAGATCTAATGCTCTCGAGTGTACAAATCCATGAAAAGGAAATGAACTAGAAAGGGTAGCGAACGACTGAAACTACGAGCGTTGAAACTATGTGGACGAAAATATGGGGCATGAAAAATATGAATGAATGGTATCTTGGAAAGTGGCTTCTTGTCCATACTCATGGGTGATACAGTTCCGCTAAAAAGAAGGGATTCTATCCTCCCAATCGTCGCATTTCAGTTTCTACGAAATTGGATTGATGAATGCAACAGGATTCTCTTGAGAAGAAATAAATCTGCTCTGCCTAAACGAGTCAACGAAACAATCACCCGTAAGTTGGTTATCAGTAATGCACATTGCCTTAAACTTCGTTTAACTGCTCATGCTGGATTTTTTCCCCATTAATCTGTACTTCATTTTTCTTCACCCACCTCGGTCGTTACTGTCCACCTTCACACCCCTTTTGCGCCCTTTTGCTGCTTCTTTTTTTATACACAGTGCGCTTCTTTGCTATCTTTCAAAAGGGTCCCTCATAAACTTTGCAGCTTCCAATTTCTCTTGTTGTAAGTAGATTCAAATAATGGGCCTTGTGAATGTCCAAACGCGAGATTAGATGGCTGTAGGCGTTACAGCCTGTAAAGGGCGTTTGTAGTGTGGACGATTCGATAAACTGCTCTAGAAATTACGTTTTGCTGCCTGGTGCTTTTCTATTTCAAGAAAATAAGTCTAATTGAACATGACGCAATTACATGTGAGCGCGTCACCTTTCTCCTTCGTTTCGCGCCATATGGATATTGGTGCGACTGGACCAGATGTAAGTCGCGTTCGCAAGTACTAAATCTTGCACCCTCACTTGCAAGAAATCGTCCGTCTAGAAATTAGAGCATATCCTAAGCAAAACGCTTTTTCCGAACAGCTACTGTATCCGAGCTCGTTAAGAAACGGATTTAAGTGAAGATGATTGATATTGCTTATGGATAGTCATCGTGAAAAGCAGGATAACTACGCTCATATTTTGCGTCATGTTTATACGATTTCCTGGCTGATAGCGATGTGTCGCCTCCCAAGTATCTCGCCCTTTCTGTTTCATGTTTGAAATGAGTTTATTGTCGGGACTGTTTTTACCTATGTGTCAGTTTGTTCTCTGATTTGATTTGGAATTGTTGCTATAGCTCCTCTACAATTCTAGCCGAAAAACCTGCAATAAGATCATAGCCCACCGAGATGTTGATGCAACAAAAAATTGTGCACTCATTTGAAAATACCAAGTTTTCAATGATTTATTTAAGCCACCACACCCGCTGAGAAGGCGCGCATCATCCTTCCAGCAGGTGTATTCGAAAGGGATGATCTTCTTCACTGCGACATGATTATTGGAGGGCTTTCAATAGTCGTATTCTTCTCCGAGCTGGATTGGACATACGTAATATTTGGTTACCCCTTTCTCTTGTTTCCCTGGTGGAGGCAATTCTTTTTAGGCAGCCCTAGCAAGCAGCTGCAGCAAAGGATCTTGTAGATAAGTGTTTCCGCGTCGGACTGATCTCAGAAGTTCTACACACTGCCATTGGGAATCATCCATTTTTCAAAAAGGTCAATTACAGTTTTGATTTTTTCTGTCCATGTGCTTTCCGAATCATTGATTTCCAAATTTTTTGAACATAATTCATTTAAATATTAGGTCGGTCCACAATTTTTGAGAACCTTTGGTGTTTTTCGATTTATTACTTATCTTATTTCTCTGATCTACTTATCCAGCATAGTATACATCATTATTATTAACAACATATCGCCAATGCGAGGGTGGGTATTCAGTGCCTCTCTTGTGGACTTTCATAGAGTTCTGATCGAAGGAAAATTGTAGTCCCGAATCAGTTCTCAACCCAATCTGACATCATCAAGTTCCTGTTGGTTTCCCATAGTTCCTTCGGATGACCATCTATAATACTCATTGGTGATGTGGACTGGGTGCAATGTGCTAACAAATCCACGAGCCGCAGTAGATTTGCTCAAACGATTCGGGAGTTCTGACAGTACAAACCCAACTCCCTCTGAATTCGAACTTTCCTGAGTCGTTGGCGCAATACGGGAGGGCCTTTGCGCTGAAGACCGGCATCAACTAATACCAGTGTCAGTGATGGGAAGAATCGTTGACAGCTTGATGGCAACGCCTTCAACTTGAAAGCAAAGGAAGACAAAATCTATTTTTTCTGAGGTCGTTCGAGCCCGCCTTGCTAAGAAAATTCCTAAAAATTGGAGACTCTCGGGCGGTCAGTTCTTTTAGCTCCGCCTTGTAGCACTAATCCTGCGTCAACGAACGACTATCCGCTCTCCTCTCTCAATCACCTTCTGGAGAAGAAATCTCACTTGAATCACCATAAAGTCAAAATCGACATCCAATATTTCTTCGATCAGAACTCTATGAAATTCTACAAGAGAGACACTGAATACCCACCCTCGCATTGGTGATATGTTGGTAATAATGGTGATGTATACTATGCTGAATAAATACATCAGAGAAATAAGATAAGTAATTAATCGAAAAACACCAAAGGTTCTCAAAAATTATGGACCGACCTAATAGCTTCAGTGGAAGTAGAGTTTTCTGTTTGATTTTCAGAGAGATCTTCCACGAAGAGACTATGATTTAGCTATGGATGCACTTATCAATCTAGATGAGAAGATCTCTGTAGGTAAGGTGATCTGGTTATGCATCGAGCGTATTTTTCGATAATTTCACAATTATCAGTAGTTTTCAGCATTTTAATCTCTGTAGTAATCTCTTGTTTCTCTTCGTAAAATACAGTCGATGTTGAGAAACAAATCCACTCCTTGAAGTTGTATAGGTCCTCAAACTGGTGAAGTCGCTCTTTCGAAATACGTCTAAAAATTGTCCTCATCTGCGCTCTCTCTCGTCTACGTTGCGATTCATGACTACATTGACCTCGCATGCTCCAACATTCACCTCAGGTTCAGTGGCTCAAGCACTATCACCACCTGAGTTGCCTACATTCGTCCTGGCTCTCGGATCTTCTGTCTAGCACCGTCAAAAGATGAGATAGCCGCCGTCTGCGCTCTGGCCTTCCGCGCAAGAACATGGAGAAAGTTCAAGCGCTGTAACTCATTTCAGGGCTACTCAAAAAAGATACCCTTATTTATTACTTCTTATTTCTTTATTGCTATTTTTGGCTGCAGTCTGCCTAATCAATGTGCACAAGGATGCTGGGTTGAGGGCAAAACATTTGTTGGTTTTGTTTGCTTTGTTTCAAAAAAAAAATGGTTATCAAGAGTCTTG